ATTGAGTGCAGATCTGTTTTATCATGGAGCTACATCTTCATCTATTATAGTTTTTATTTTGAGACAGGATCTGGCTAAATTGCTTAAGGTATTACAAAGTTTCTGAGGCTGGCTTTGAACTTGCAAATCCTCCTGACTCAGCCTTTCTTTAATTACTGAGTTGCTAGATTCATCTTTTCTCCATGTTGGTATTACCAGTGCCACACTTGGAAAAAACGACATGTATGCTCTCATGCCTCCTTGTCATCATCACCTGATAATATTGAGTTTCCAAAGTGTAAATTCCATTAAATGGGCTCAGTAGTTATATGCTAAATTACTTTGGTAGTTGATTTTGTTCCTGTTGGTCAACTGAGCCCTGCAAATCATATTTTTCTATTTCAGTTAAAATTACAATGTCCTTAATATACCCATTTTCTAGTTCTCTGAGGATGATTTATTTCTAAAACACTCTCTTTGCATTCCATTCTTCTTTTCTTCACCATATTATTCTTCCTGTTCCTCTATTTGGTGATTGCACTGGTGCTTTCTTACAGTTTTCACATAAGTCTTTTGCTATTGGGTTTCAATTGTAGAGAAATGTATTATTTTATTTGAGATCCCAAACCACTTATATCAGTGGAAAAAAAAAATAGAAAAATTGATGTCTCAAAATCTTTTATTAAACTGTACTGAGAAAAGATGGAAAGCTCCTCAGTTCGGTTTTGTCCTGACATCTTTCACGCCAGGCCGCAAACAGGTATTTATTGAAAATACATACCTCTAACTCCTATTGGTTTTACATTAACTTCAGATTTTAGTGCTGTGGCTTCTACTTCTACATTGGTATATGGGGTTCCTCTCTAAACATTTTGGTATGTCATCTGAATGAAAGGAATGCACTATACCATTAAACAGGAAATAAATGGAAATAAAGAATATTGAGGCTAGGTAAGGAAAATATTCACAGATAACTTGTGTAATACAGTGGAAAAACATCATATTAATACATTAGAAAATACTATGGATACTTACACATTGTATAAACACAGTTGCTCATCATAACATTCTAGTCCTTCTGTATCTTGTCCTTATTTGCACATTTAACCCTATCTTATAATAACTCATTTTTTCATAGTAAATATGGCAAAATCACTCCCAGTGATGTGCAAAGCACAAGTGGAAGATTGAGATCAGCAAAGATTAGTTTATATAAGACATTGGAGTCTATCATTTGTTGAGTGACCAAATATTAACATCCGTTCTATGTGTATGTTTTAGATTGGATTCCCCTGCAAATGGAGCTTAGTATAGAACCTTAGTACAGGTTGTTTATTTGGGAGATGAGCCCCAGAAAACAAGAGTAAGAGAACATTAAAAATGAGACAGAGGGGCTGGGGCTGTAGTTCAGTGGTAGAGCGCTTGCTTGCACATGTGAGGTACTGGGTTTGATCCTCAGCACCACATACAAAATAAAGATTCTTTTTTAAAAAGGGTGAGGTAGGGAAAGAAGAAAGGATATGTTATTGACAATGCTGCTTTAGGAAGCAGGAGCTTGAAGACTTCTGAGAAACAATAGAATATCTCCCAGATTGTCAGATTGGAGATTAGAAACTTTGTTCAGTAACTCCTTTCCCCATTGCTCAAGTGTTGGCCCCTGTGGTGGCCTCTCCAGAACTTCTAAGATATTACAAAGTGAGAAAATTTATTCTCCATGTCTCTAAATTTTTGCTTTGATGATTCATCAGTCTCACCAAAGCAAAAATTTAGAGACAGAGAATAATTTTTTTTTTGAAATTTTTTGGAAAAGTCCAAGAAAGCAGTATGACTGGGAACAGTTGAAGATGGGAACTATAATGTTGACATTATAATTTTGTTTGTTACAATGAATACATTTAGAGAATAAAGCTATGGAGAATTTTTTAAAAAGTTTTTCTTTTAGTTCTTGGTCATTTCTTCTTTTTTTCTCTTGGCTATTATCTAAGTCTGTTTTTATGTCCTACTTTTCCACCTGCATGACACATAAATGGAAATATTTCTTAAGGTTTCCTTTTTGGATGTCTCTTCTCTGTATATCTTCCTGAATTTAGAATTCCATCCACATCATTGGCTTGAGTACCTACAGTATGAAGACTCCCAATGGCTTGTCTCTGGTGCAGATATTCCTCTTATGTCCCAGTTACAAATATAAAGAAGAGGATAAAGGGGAAGATGGTCATGGAAAACTGTTCCGCCTCTGAGAAATTTCTGCTACTTTTCTCTTAATATCTGAGACTATGCAACATACTTCCTGGCTTCAGCTCTAATTTCCTTGATGGAAAAAAAACACATTATTCATTCACTTAAGTTCTCCTTTCCTTATATCCTCTTAGCAATCTGTACTCTGTCCTAATATGTGCTCAGTAAATATTAATTTGTTGCCATAAATGATTTACCTTTTTGCATGCTAAACAGACTCTTTGGGAACATTCATAAAGCTTTTGTGAGGCTGTTGATAGGCAGAAAATTTCATAAATTTTCTGAATGATTTCTACCATCTTGAACAAAGGTATTTATTTCACAGAAATGTATAATTATTATAGATTTATTATGTTATAACTATTATAGGAAGATAGTACTTCTTAAAAATGCAGCTCTCTCATTTAGCTACTTGAAAATCTACTACTGGTCATTCTCACGTACTCTAAAATTAGGCTGCTATTGGCTTAAAAACTACCCTAAAATATACTTTTAACAGGAGGCAAATTATAATTTTTCTATCTGATACTTATTTATCTCTTTGTTTTATTGTATAGAGCTTATTAAACTAAATGAGTGGGTTGATTCGAAAACCTTTGAGCCCATTCATAGTCATTGACATTGTTACTGAAACATTTTAGCATATTGTGATAAAGTCTCAATAGCATATAAATACAATGAATTAATTTTCCAATGTGGTTTTAAATCTCAGAAAATATCTGCTGAGTAATTATGATTGTCATTTATATGCTTACATGTAATCTAATTTAAAAGTACTAATTGTAGCAGAATGTTATGGTTTAATAATTTAAGGTATAAGGGCAAAAACAATTAATGCAAATGGAGAAAATTGGACATCAAACTCATTTATTATTCTCCTTGCTCTATTAATCTGTTATCATCTGGCACAATTGGTGATCTAACTTGGTTTAATTACCATGAAGTCTACAATTTAGCTAATCAAAATTTATCACCCATTTCTCCAATAAGATAGAAAACATTTTGTAATTTTTGTAATTATGAAAATACAAGATATACAAAGATATTTGTACACATGTATAAACATTCCAATAATGAAATTTCTTTGAGGAAAAAGAAGAACATTACCCCTTATAATCTGCTTCATGGGCTAAATAGAGTTTAAGAAAAATTAGTGATTTCTGAGAGCAAGGGAATTATTGCTGTATGATTTTTTTTTCACCAGATACATTGTTTGTCTGACTTTTGTAGGGGATATTCAAATATGGTGTTGAATATTGTGATTTTAGGAATTGTTTGAAAATATATGAAATGAATTTTGTAACCACTGAGGTTAAAGATTAGGAAATAGCATGAACCTTTTCTGAAAAAAAAAAAACTCTTGAATTTTTAATTTCTCCTCAGCTCCGCAAGGCTATTATAGATCATGTGTCAGACTCTTTCTTGGATACAACAGTCCCACTTTTGGTTCTCATTGAAGCTGCTAAGAATGGCCGGGAAAAGGAAATAAAAGAATATGCTGCAATATTTCATGAACACACCAGCAGGCTTGTAGAGGTAAGCATGCTAGAACTGTAACCACTTTAAATCCAGGAGAATGAGACTCCCATTCCCCATTTACAGTTGAATTGTACCCAGATAAAAACTTGACAATGTATTACAAACGTAGCAGGGTTGTGGCTCGGAGATGTGATGGTGTTTATGTCAAATAGCATAAACCATCCCCCACTGGCTTGGAACAGGAGCGATTTATTGAGAAAGAGCTATGAAACTGCACCCACTGTTATTTTATTTTTTTTAATGTATATTTTGTCTGAGCTACATAAAAGAACTAGCTGAAAACAGACACTTAGTTTTATCCTTATAGATATTTTCTTTCCATTCTAACTTAAAAGTATCAAATACTTTTCCTTGGACTGTTTTATTGTTTCTCTACCACCTTTTTATGGTTGTAGTACTCTTTCAGTTTTTAAAAACATTTTCAACTAAGTACATAACTAAAACCAAGATTGTGGGATATATTAGGGTTGGATTAATGAATAATTAAGTAGGGATAGTAGGTCAGACAAGAGATGATTAAACTATAATTCCCTTTTCTTAAAAACTGGAGACAAGGGAATAACCCGTGATTTCGGAAGACGGATGGTGTATTGCTAAAGGAGCCATGAAGTCCTTAGAGAGTCCCAGGAGACAGACAGTGGAACCTATTGTATTGTGGTCATCAATAACAGCTACAACATAAGAGAGAGTACATGGAAGAAATTCTAACACAAGTAAGATGACAGTACTCACAAGGCCAGGAATCAGTGGTGGGAAAGGGGAGATATGATTTACCAGATTCATATATCAGAGCTGATGTTCAGTTATCACTCACCAGTATGGCTAGTGTCAGTTCTGATTGCCAATACCAATGCCATACTGCTCACTAAATATCTTGCCTGCCTTACCTTCCTCAAACTCTGTAGGGAACTTGTAGTGATGTGTATTTTATGACCTAAATTGCTTGTAAAACTTGTAGTGGGGAGGGGAGAGAACCACCTGCATTGGCATCACATCATTTGATACAACTTTCCTCGAGTCTTTAATTCATTGGTAAGGAGGTTTCCAATGTAGCTAGTATTTGTACTATAAACTCTCTTTTTACACTCCTATCTCCACAAATGGAAAATGAAAGAAGTAGATGAATGTATGGTCACTAATCCCATTTCAGCCTTAAAACTATGCCACTTGTAACTTTGAAATCTCCTTTCAATTTCCCAGGAACTCTATGAGACAGGGCAAGTGTTTCAATTCCATTTTTTTTTTTTAAGGAAGTAAAGGTACCAACCCCAAGCCTAATTTTTGTTGGACTGAACTTCCAGATTTATAATTTTAGTTAATTGATTCAGTAGTTTTATTTATTCCTTTACATAGTCATTCCTCAAATATTCATTAATATACCCACTAGATAATGTTCAAAGTAAAAGCATGGAACAATAGGAACAGGTTGTGAAAGATAACAAATGTAGCACAAATGTACCAGAGTCCTTGATGGTTATAAAAGTTTCATATAAAAATGCATTCTCCAAAAAGAAGCAGCACAAAATTATGAAATTAGAAAAAAAACTTTTCATGAAACACTTTGAAAGTAAAATTTGGTTTCTGATGATGAAATTGCATCCTTATTCCTATTTCTGTGTAGTCTTTCTGTGAAACATAAATCTCATTAAACCCCCATTGAAAAGAGGTGCCTTGGTTGGAGATTTTATATTCTTAAAAAATTCTAAAGAGATTTCTTGCATTTCATTTAAGCTAGTTTCTCCAAATCAGTTTACCTAAGAAACACTTTCTTTCATGACTTATTACTAAATGACTGCTTTGTAGAATACTTGGAAATATGACTTTGTTTTCAACCATAATGATGGTTTATATTATGTAGATAGAGCTCTAAATTTTGTTTTAAATATTTAAGAATTTTGAATGCTCTTTAATTTGAATATGGAAAGAGTAAAAGCTTTATAATTATGAGCTACTTGGAGTCTGAGCTGGGTCTTTCTTTAATCTGTATGCTCTCTTAACACATTATAAAGAAATGATGCTAGATTTGAAGTAATATTCAAGTTCAGATCTTATTCTGATTTTATTGAAAGGAGGTTTGGTCTAAGTTACTTTCAGTTTCAGTGAGTTTATGTTATGTAAAAATAAAAAAAAAAGATCCTCAATTGTAGTGGTTTATAATAGCTATTTGTTATTATCTTTCAATGATTTGTGGATTGACTGGGCAGAGCTGGATAATTCTTGTTTAGGGTTTCGGAGTGATTACTCTTATATATTGGCTGGGGATGCCAAAGATTTACGTAGGTTGAACATCCAAGATGGCACATTCACATTACTCAAATTGCATGTTCACTGTAAGCTGAGGGAAGAGAGGTATGGTTTTTGACTAGAGCAATACATATCTTTTCCATGTGGCATCTGCTGTTCTTCGTGTTGGGTTCTATGATGATGTGTTAGAATAACACTTCAGAAACAGGAAATAGAGGCTGCTATTCTCTGAAGTCTTAGGTTTGGAAATTGCAGAAAGGTTACTTTCATTGTATCTCTTGGTCACAGCAATAATAGAGCCTACCCAGATACAAGGGGTGAGTATTGGTGAGATTTCACTCTCAACGAAGGGAATATCTAAATACTAATGGCCACCTTTAAACTACTGTACTTCTTTTCTCAGGGCTTACTTTGTTTTACCTATATAATGAAGTTTCAACAAAATAATATCTGAGGTTACTCCAAAATTGTTATTTCAATTGAGAGACTTCTGGTTTTCTGGGAAATATAGAAGCAGGAGGAAATAAAAATGGTTTTTAAGTATATTGAATGTAAGCCAGGATATATAAAATTATATGTATATATATATATATATATATATATA